CTGTGACGATACGTACACACCCTCAAACACCTACAGGAGAATTCTCCATGCCCGTTATTACTTTCCCTCCTTCCTCTGGACTCACTTTTATTGACAGTCAATGGGGTTTAGCAGATAAGAATGTTGCACCACCACCCCGGAGTCCCAAGTTCAAATCCAGATTCAGCCCTGGAAGCTCACAGGGAGGAAGGGCAATGGGAAGCTGGTTTTTGAACAACTACCACACTGTGGACTGCTGTAAATGCGAAGTGACGGGATGGCATGTAACATACACAAAAAAATAATTAAATCATTTATTGTGCAAGCCCTAAAGAGCAGACAAGATCTGACAAGAGGAGATTCATGCATGCTCGCTTGGGAAGCTCCATCATCAGGGACCTCCCTGGGTTCTTGGTTTTAGTCAAGGCAGAGATCTGAAAAAAGGCAGAGCAAAAGCAAAGGGGCCTCTGAGGGTGTGCAGAGGGCCGGTTCTTCACAGGAATTGTCTGCTTCTGGCTACCCTCGTTTTTCACATTAATTAAGTCCAACCCCAAGGCTCCAACAGCACCGCAATCACTCTCTCCACACCGACCAACAACATTTTGGGTCTCTCAGCAAGCTGCAGATGTTCCTGAGGACTTAAGTCCACCATGGCCTCCTCTACAGTTTCTTTCTTTGTTGACTTATTTACGAGTCACATTTAGACCCAAGGACGAAATGGGTAACAAATGAGGGCAGTAGGTATGAGCATGTGCAGAATTCCTTGCACGAAACACACTGAGCAACTTTCACTGGCTGATATAAGGCGGGGGAAAAAAATCATCGTTCTGTATGGTCAAATCACTTCCAACTTCGGTTAAACCCAGTAGGGTTTTTTTGAGGGAGCAAGTCCAGCACATAAGATGCTCCACTCATTCTTTCAGCTCCAGAAGAGCAACGTAAAAATTTTTTGTTTATTTTATTGGTGCAGATAAAAGAGGGGAAAAAATATCAAGATTTTTGTTCGCACTAGGCGAGATGACGATCGTTCTTGTGCATATTTTATATTTTGGCTCTTTTTGTGAGAAGTTCATGGCAGTATTTTTGTCCCCCCCCCCAAAAAATCAGACTTTCCACAAAACACATGGTTTATAGATACTAGATAAATAAAAATATATAGTATAGGTACATATCTACATATCCACTATATGTACCTACTCATACTTACTGTCTTCATTCATCACTAACTTCATCCTTGGATCTAAACATAACTCGTAGATAAGTAAACAACGAAATTAACAGGAGAGAGATTTGTCTGCTCAAACAAGGAAGTCTACCGAAGGGAGATGCAATGGATAAAACTAGTCCTCAAATGTCTTCCGTATCTTGAAAGCCTATTGCAGTCACCATTAAGTCAGTTCCAACTTGAAGACACATAATACATACATATAATGTTAAAAATACTTGAATTTTCTGCAAAATATACCTTTTTGGCACACACACAAACACAAACTATCCCCATACATAAAATTCAAAACACATGTTTTTAAAATTAAAATCACAGGTTTCTGATAATGCTGCCGTTCACTCAGAAAGCGAGGATTCTGCTCTTGTGCAGGAGTGAAACATGGCACAGTAGTTTATGATGTTTTAGAATGCATGTCGTGATGCGTAAAGATGCATTTATTCATCAAGGAGAAGGAAACATGCATATTTATTATATCCTTAGATCAAAAAAACTTTTCCTTAAAAAAAAAGGGGGGGGAGGCAGAGATCCCTTTTGACCTGTTCTGCCCCAGATCACCTTGAGGCGACCATGGGAAACGCCAAAGGGAAGCTGTGAGTGGATTAAGACATGTGTGGGCCTAGGGTGGATCACGAAACCCTTGGTGGAGCTCACTAGACCAGCAAGCCTTTCTTGACAGTCAATTATTTAACAAATGAAATGGATCTTTCTCCTCTCCCGCCTATTATATTGCTGAAAGGTCTAGGATAAGCTGGAGGGGACTTTTGCCTAGGAAGGATGCTAGATGATGGAAGCTGTAGTAGTCCAACACCTTCTATAAGTTGTATAAGTTGTCCACACCAATCGATCAACTCAGAACGTCAGTGACTATGTGCATGTGTACAGTGGTGCCCCGCTTAACGATTAGATCGATCTACTCAGAACGTCAGTGACTATGTGCGGAGTACAGTGATGCCCCGCTTAACGATTACCCCGCTTGATGACGAATCCACTTCACAACGATGTTTAATGGGCTTTTTTCGCTTCTCAGCGATTGGTTCCCTGCTTCAGGAACCGATTCTTCGCATTACGACGATCAAAACAGCTGATCGTCGGGTTTTCAAAATTGCTGCCAGCTGCTCAAAATGGCTTCCCGCTGTTTTTAGGAGGCATTTTTCGCTGCACAGGCACCCAAAAATGGCCACCCTATGGAGGATCTTCGCTGGACGAGCAGGTATTTCGCCCATTTGAACGCACTGAACGATTTTCAATGCGTTTCAATTGGCATTTTTATTTCGTTTGACGAGGATTTCGCTCTACAGGGATTTCGCTGAAACGGATTATCTTCGTCAAGCGAGGCACCACTGTATGTCTACCTCACCCTGTGTAAATTCGTCAGAGTGTCTACACGGAGAGAAAAATGAAATGCCTGACAGCTCAGCTTTGGCTGCCAGGGTGCAATATGAAAGGCCTTCAACAATAAGGAGAGAGTCACAGAATCATGGATTAACATAATATGTTGGAAGACAGGGCCAAGGAAGCCATCGAGTCCGACCGCCTGCTCAAGGCAGGAACCCCAATCAAAGAAGATCTGACAGACGGCAGTCTAAATTTCTCTTGAATGCCTCCACGGTTGGAGCGTTCACCATCTCTTGAGGTCACTGTCTCCACTGTTGTGCTGCTCTAACAGTTAAGAGTTCCCCCCTCATATTTAGCCTGGAGCTGGCTTCCTGTAACTTGAAGCCCATTTGTTGACATAATATGTTGGAAGACAGGGCCAAGAAAGCCATCGAGTCCAACCGCCTGCTCAAGGCAGGCACCCCAATCAAAGAAGATCTGACAGATGGCAGTCTAAATTTCTCTTGAATACCTCCAGAGTTGGAGCGTTCACCATCTCTTGAGGTCACGGTCTCCGCTGTTCTGCGCTGCTCTAACAGTTAAGAGTTTCCCCCTCATATTTAGCCTGGAGCTGGCTTCGTTCCCCCCTCATATTTAGCCTGGAGCTGGCTTCCTGTAACTTGAAGCCCATTTGTTGTGTGCCCTGCACTCCGGGATGATCGAGAACAGATCTTGCCCCTCCTCTGAATGACAAACTTGCAAGTCTTTGAAAAGTGCTCTTCCCTCTCCCCTCCGGCTTCTTTTCTCAAGGCTAAACATGCCCAATTCCTTCAGCCTTTCCCCCTAGGGCTTGGTTTCCAGCCCCCTGATCCTCCTCGTCGCCCTCCTCTGAACTTTTTTCAGTTTGTCAGCATCCTTCTTAAAGTGTGGTGTGCAGAACTAGACACAGTTCTCAAGATGAGGCCTAACCAGTGGCAAACAGAGGGGATTTGGAGACTATACCTCTGTTAATGCAGCCTAAAATAGCATTGGCCCTTTTTGCAGCCACATCACACTGTTGGCTTATATTCAAGCCACGTCACATTGTTGGCTTATATTCAGCTTTTGATCAACAATTCCAAGATCCTTCTCACTTGTAGTATTGCTGAGCCAGGTATCCACCATCTTTTAACTGTGTGTTTGGTTTTTTCCCCTCTAGGTGTAGATCTCTGCAATTATCCCTGTTAAATTCCATTCTCTTGTTTTCAGCCCAGTGCTCGAGCCGATTCAGATCTTTCTGATCCCCCCGCCCCCTTCATCCAGGGTATTAGCTATGCCACCCAATTTTGTATCATCCACAGATTCGATAAGCTTATCCAAGTCATTAGAAACATGTTGAAGACCACCAGTTCCAGGACAGCCTTGTGGTACCCCACTTGTCTGAGAAGGAGCCATTCAATCAATACCCTCTTGAGTGCAATTCTGTAACCAACTATGTGTATCTACCTGACAGTTGTTCTATCCAGCCTACAGCTAGTTAGTTTGCTCATCAGAATCTCACTACATTTTTTACTGTCTTTCATCTTTTTTTTTTTCTTGTTGGAATTGTGCCTTTTTAAGAAACTCCCACCCGTCTTGGATTCCCTTTCCTATAAGGATCTCTTGCCATGGGACCTTACCTATCGCTGTTCAGAGTTCATTAAAACTGGCTATCCAAGCTACCAATCTATCCCTGTATACAAAAACAGAGCACTCCCTGATTAGGTGTGACACGGAAGGCTTTTCAGACTGCCTGGCCCTCCCTGTTGTGTCCTATCTACATGCGTTGTGACTCTGCCTCCTGCACAGCTAATTCAACTCATCCCGCATATTAGGAACCCATGGCAACATCACCTGCAACGACCACCACAACTGCCTCTTCCTCTCCAAGCACCAACTTACTGCAAGCTGTTCCTGTTTGCAAAGTACATTGTGACAACTTGATCATGAACAGGTGATCAAGACCCCCATAACTTCACAAAAGAGCTGCTCCTTGTGTCGATGAAAACCCCCCAGAACTGGTTTCTTTAAGACCGCCTCCAGGTGGCTGCCTCCACTTCTAGATTCTCCTTAGATCTCAAAAGGTATTCCCTTCACCATGGGGGGTGGGAGGAGAAATCTTTCCATCCTAAAGCTGCAGGCAACGTCTTTGCAACCCGGTTCACATGGACTCACATAAAGCAGCAAACAAACAGAAGAGCACTGAAGGCATGACATTCTGTTGCAGCTGGTAAAGACCCCAAGAGGGCTGTTGTTCCGTCTTGAGTAGGAAAAAGCAGTTTTGCAGAAGAGCAAGCACTCCCCCTTCTCTCCATGCTCACACTCCAGAACCTTCGTGCTGTGCAACTGGACGATCCAGGCCTCTTTCCCCTTTAGAAGGTCATCCCTCCCACCCTCTGTTTGCCCCAGCGTATCAAAGCACCCTCCCTCCCAGTCCGTCCGCCCACCCGACGATTCTTACTATATGCAGCTGCAAGTAGTCTCCGAGCCCAGAGGCACTGTCCACCCGCACCAGAATGGCGTTCTTCTGATGCGTGCTGAAGCCCACGGCCAAGCGGTCGGCCCGGGTGCTGGGGCGGTCGTTTGGTGGCCACGTGTACGTAATCAGCGCCCCGCCCTTTCCGAAAATATACGTCGTGCCAGCTGGAAAGAAGAAGGAGAAAGAGAAAAGAACAGTCAGAGGAGAGGGAATGTCCTGCTGTAGTCTCTGAGGTCAGAGGATTCAAGTGAGCTTCCATCAGCTTAGTTACTACAGTGGTGCCTCGCTAGATGATGACAATCCATTCCACTGAAATCGCTGTTTAGTGAAATCATTGTCTAGCGAAAAGCATTGAAACCTGTTTAATGCGTTCCAATGGGGAAGAATCGTTGTTGTCTAGTGAAGATCGGCCATAAGAAAGCCGCTTTGCGAGCCGCCGATCAGCTGTTTAAATCGCTATCTTGCGAAGCTTAGGTCCCAAAAACACCCATTTTGCGAGCACGGAAGGAGCTGTCAAAATTGTCATCTAGCGAAAATTTACTACTACTACTACTACTACTACTACTACTACTACTACTACTACTACTACTACTACTACTACTACTACTACTACTACTACTACTACTACTACTACTACTACTACTACTACTACTACTACTACTACTACTACTACTACTACTACTACTACTACTAATAATAATAATAATAATAATAATAATAATAATAATAATAGGTGCCCTTGCTTTGAACTCCAGGGGCGAAAGCAGCACGCCAAGATCAATAGTGCTTCAGCTCAGCTCTGTGACCTGCTGAATCTTCTACCCGCTTAACTCTGTAATGCAGTACGAAGGGACTGGGTTTGATTTTTTTTCCCCTCCTCCCTCCCCATCCCCTTTCTTTCTGTGCTGTGTCTGTCAACCACTCCCCAGCCCTTCTGCAATGGAAAGGTTCCAAATAAATGAATCAATATCGGGAAAACTCTGGTATTTTTGAGCTCCAACAGAGTTCACGAAGAAAAATACCCCTTTCCTCCAAGTGCTTATGATCTGCCTAGATGTTTGGTCGCATTGGGACACACTTCATCTGGGAAGCCAATGAGCAGGGATTATAATAAATGTTTTATTACGGTCATTGGCCAGCAAAAGTAAGGAACATTATTTAAATTAGGAGACATAAAAGCAATCTAAAAACATCTATATGCATATATATAAAACTACATTCATACATCTTACTAAATATCTCCTGCCTCCCTATCATAGGCCTTATCTATGGGCTATTGCAGCTTGTACAGAATGACAGAATTGTGACTTTGAAGCTCACAGAGCCCGGGTGATCATTATACCAAATTGGTATATACCAAATTACAGATACTATAGCTGCGCTTCAGGTGGAACCTTTCCTCCACGGATTTTGATTGCAGCAGCACAGAATTTAGCTACTTTTGTCAGCGTATCTGAATTTTGGTTCCGCCCAGTATATCTGCCAGGGCATCGCCCTGTCAGCAAAAGCAGTGTGTAATGTGCCTCTGATCGTCCAGGTAATGCCCTTATGTAAGGGTTAACAAGGTCTCCTCAAATGCCAGAATAAAAAGCACAATGAAGTAACACATGGGAGCAGGGATTGCCTGTTTAAGATACACCGTGACAGTAGGAGAGAGGATACCAGAGCATGCATCGACAGTTTTGCCCTCCTGCAGTGTTGCTATTGTTGTTGTTGTTATTCAGCCTAACAACTGTAGACCACAGAAGCATTTTTCAGCTGAAGGATGACACTAATGTGACTTGAGTAAACAACAGCTATAAATAAGGGCCTCCAAGGCAACAATCCACCCATGCTTAGGAAATCCATTTATTATGGTTTGTGTCACGCCCGCCCTTGTCCACAATAGCTTCCAGGGTGTGGAGAATGACAAGCAAAGGCGGTGCCGGTGGTTAGACTGGCACAGCGCACACCTAGCCTTCATCCCCAGTAGACAAATCCCCGGGGGAATCTAAGAAGAGCCCCATTCGGGGGTTCCAAAAAGGGCAACGTTTGAGTGCCTTGAGGAGGAGACAGCTTTCTATCCCCAAAGTGTCTCTATGCAGTTGGGGAACCTGGAAAAACCAGGTTTCTTAATCACGCAGAAGAGTGGAGGGGAAGCCAATGCCACACAGGAACTTCCAAAGACAATTCAGCACCCTGGACAGATCCTCGATTCAGCACCCTGGACAGTGCCTGGACATTCAGGCAGCCCCTTGCAGTTGGCCTTTTGAGTCACCAGCCTCTGGTCTCCTCTTCAGCCTCTCTTTCCTCTGGATGGGGTCAAGGCTAGCTTCCTCTGCCCCCTGGCCACCATTTCAACATCACCCCTTTTTCGGAACGCCAGGCTAAGGCGACAGGACTCGGTTCTCCTTCCTCCCGCACTCCCGTGTATTAAAAACAAATAAAATAAAAATAAAACCCTTATAAGCTCCTGGGGTCGAACGCGTGGCAAATCCACACATTTTTGTTCAACGCTTACCCGAACAGAACCAAGATAAATTCTAGCCCAGGTCGTACTGGCTAAATGCAATACAGCTACAGTCCCGGCGGGGACAGGACCCTTTCCAGTCAGCCGGCTATGAAGCTGGTGACGGTGGGCAGTCCATCCACGCCAAAAGGGGCGGTAATCCTTATTCTGTGCCACTAATATTGAGATGAATACTCAGTGATCCGAAGGCCAAGATTCTAAGATCTCACACGTATTTTCCTCGATAGGAGAAATACAAAGGTTTGGGTTTCTTTCTCAGGTCTGCATCCTTGATCTTTTATTATTTCCGCCAAATTTGCAACAACTCTGGAGACATCCGTATAGAGAAAAAAAGGAACAAAGAAAGCCCTCATCCAGCTACACCCAACTGGAGTCCCCCCCCCATGCACACAAATGCACACACACACACCTTGTCCCTTCCCAGCCACGAAATGCTAGGGCTCTGTGCCTCCCCTTCTGCATTTCGGGACACAGCCTGGGCGAGGAACAGGGTTAGGAATGATGGACGGAGAGGCGTAAGGGTTGAGACAGAATCATCCGTCTCCTGGCCACCCGGCTCTTTTCTCAGTCCCCTCCAGGCACGGGGCTCCAGCAGGGCTATTCATCAGCCCTCATCTGTATTTCTGGCCCACCACGGACACGCCTGCCTCCCGGCTAAGCGATTCTCCAACCATCCCATCCATTGTCCTCAGCTTGTCCAAAAGCCAACGCTACGCTACGAAAACTTCATGGAACGGATAAGGCTGCAAAGCTTCCAGACTGCGCCGGCTTCTTGTGGGTCTCGAGCCCCTTGATTTTCAAAAACAATAATTTCTACCCAAGTCTCTGGCTGCAGAGGCAAAGGTCGGTGGTTCGATTCCCCACTGGGTCTCCTCTGAGTAGTGGCCTTGGCCAAGCTGCACAGTTCCTCCCAGAAGAAGGAAATGGTAAACCCCTTTTGAGTACTCTTCATCTGGTAAAAGGTTCCCCTTGACAATTTTTGTCCAGTCGTGTCCGACTCTAGGGGGCGGCGCTCATCCCGCTCTTCAAGCCATAGAGCCAGCGTTTGTCCGAAGACAATCTTTCCATGGTCACATGGCCAGTGTGATTTAGACACGGAACGCTGTTTACCTTCCCACCGAGATGGTACCTATTTATCTACTTGCATTTGCATGCTTTCAAACCGCTAGGTTGGCGGGAGCTGGGACAAGCAACGGGCGCTCACTCCGTCGCGTGGATTCGATCTTACGACTGCTTGGTCTTCTGACCCTGCAGCACAGGCTTCTGCGGTTTAGCCCACAGCACCACCACATCCCCACTCTTCATGTGGAAAACCCTGGAAAAGGTTGCCAGACATCAAAATTGACGATGGCAATTGTTATTAATTTTCAAAAGCAGTAACGTCTGTCCAGTCCTAAGGACTGCACTCCTGAGCAATAATGAGGTTTTCATTAGGCATTGTACAAGAGGGAGACCCTTAGCTGCCCATGGGCAGCCGCTAGGCGAGAACACTCGGTCTGCATTGGTCAGGCACACAGTAAGGTGACCAGAGAGCCAAGCAAGGTTATGTATGTTAAGTTCCCCCCCCTGCAGAAACAGGTCTTAAGCTCCCAACTGGCCGGGTCACCAGAGAGGAGAATGCCACGCCAGCACAGCCAACTTAGCCATGCTAGCTGACTTATTTTGGGAGTTGTAGTCCTGCCCCCCCCCAAAAAAACCCCACATCTTTTCCCAATGTCTAGACCAGGAAGTCTAGATTTCCAGTATGGTGTAGTGGATGGAGTGACAGACTAGGACTCTGGAGAACAGGGTTTGAATCCTCACTTGGTCTGGGAAACTCAATGGGGGAGTGGAACCAGTAAAACCACTCCTTAAAGGCTATCTTACCTTGAAAGCCCTATTAGGGTCGCTATAACACACACACACACACACACACACACACACACACACACAGAGACCCACACACACACACAGACAAAAAACAACGACTGGCCAAATGCAAAAATATTCCACCAGCTATTTTCAGTTTTGCTTACTATACTTTGATTGCTACGGTCCTGATATCAGAGTATGGATAATCAATGCGTGTTAGCATTCTGACTGCTATTCTGCAGGAGACAACTGAAAATTAGAAATTAATATTTACCCCTTCCCCCAACAGGTAATACTTCCATTCCTATGTATATGTATATTGACAGGCCTTCCCTCCTGTCAATATTTAAATCTTTCTTTATTTTTTCTGTCATTTATTATTTGTTTTATTGTTGTATGTGTTATGGACTGTTTGTAAAATCCTTATATTTTATCGTATACACCTTATTGGAAGCCGCCCAGAGTGGTCGACCAGACCAGACGGGCTGGATATCAATCAATCAATCAATCAATCAATCAATCAATCAATCAATCAATCAATCAATCAATCAATCAAACAAACAAACAAACAAACAAACAAACAAATAAATATGTAGTTCTTTAAAACTTGCATATGTTCATGAATATCCATGAGCCCAAATCTACCTCCAAAACAGGTATTTTATCAGAGAGAAAAGGACATGTTATCGAAACAACAGGAGAACAAAGCGAAGAGTCTGTGAGCAGCAGAAAAAGAGAATTCTGAAATTATGCATCTGTAAATTATTAAAGAACCTGTGGGATTCAGAAAGCTTTGCTCATCCC